TATGCAATGCACCTACCACATTCCAAAGGTGCATGATGGCCATATTCACTGACATGGTGGAAGACATAATGGAGGTGTTAAGGGATGATTTCTCAATGGTGGGAAACTCATTCGATGAGTGCCTTACAAACCTGACCCGAGTATTGAAGAGATTTATCGAGACTAACCTTGTACTTAATTGGGAAAAGTGCCATTTCATGGTACAAGAGGGTATAGTCTTGGGACACAGGGTATCAAGCAAGGGAATCGAGGTGGATCGTGCTAAAGTTGATGTGATAGCAAAGCTGCCACCACCCACATCAGTCAAGGCAATCAGGAGCTTCCTCGGGCATGCTGGTTTTTACCGGAGATTCATAAAAGACTTCTCAAAAATTGCCAACCCTCTCTGTAAGTTGTTAGAAAAAGATCACCCTTTCATGTTTTCTGATGATTGCAGGGTAGCATTTGAGGAGTTGAAAAAGAGGCTAGTCACAACACCCATCATTGTTGCCCCCGACTGGGAGCAACCATTCGAGCTCATGTGCGGCGCCAGTGACTATGCAGTGGGGGCAGTGCTAGGCCAGCAGAAAGACAAGCTAATGCACCCAATTTACTACGCCAGTAGAACGTTGAATGGAGCCCACCTGAACTACACTGTGACTGAAAGGAGATGCTGGTTGTGGTGTTTGCATTCGACAAGTTCAGATCATACCTAATTGGCTCTAAGGTAATTGTATATACTGATCATGCTGCTCTCACGTACTTGATTGAGAAGAAGGAGTCCAAACCGTGCCTGACTCGTTCGGTGCTGTAATTTCAAGAGTTCGACCTGGAGATTCGTGATCGTAAGGGCACAGAAAACCAAGTCGCTGATCATCTATCGCGACTTGAAGGAGCTGAAAACGCAGTTGAGGTAGAGGATTTCTAGAAACCTTTCCAGACGAGCAGCTACTCGCCACAAGCCTTGAGGAAGTGCCATGGTATGCAGACTTTGCAAATTACCTGGCAAGCGGTATAGTTCCCTATGACCTTTCCTCTGTGCAAAAGAAAAAGTTTTATCGTGACTGCCGCATGTATTACTGGGATGAACCTTATCTGTTTAGAATATGTGTTGACAATATGATCCGGAGGTGTGTCCCCGAGATAGAATAATCTTCTGTTTTGCAGGCATGTCACGCATCGGCATATGGCAGGCATTTTGGAGGAGTCAGGACGGAAGCAAAAGTGCTAGAAGTCGGGTTCTACTGGCCAACAGTGTTTAAGGATGCACATCAATGGGTGAAGGGCTGTGATGAATGTCAGCGAACTGGGAACATTTCCCGTCGACATGAGATGCCCATGAACCCAATTCAAGAGGTTGAAGTGTTCGATGTATGGGGGATAGACTTCATGGGCCCCTTCGTCAGCTCCTTTGGCAATAAGTACATACTTGTTGCTGTAGATTACGTGTCCAAATAGGTGGAAGCTGCAGCACTCCCCACCAATGATGCAAGAGTGGTGGTGGGGTTTTTGAAGAAGAATATATTCACCCGTTTCGGGACCCCAAGAGCCATTATCAGTGACGGAGGAACTCACTTCTGCAATCGAGCCTTCGAGAAATTGTTAGCAAAGTATGATGTGCGCCACAAGGTGGCAACCCCATATCATCCTCAGACCAGTGGACATGTCAAAGTGTCGAATAGAGAGATAAAGAGTGTATTGACCAAGACTGTGAACGCCACAAGAACTGATTGGGCGAAAAAGCTAGATGATGCACTCTGGGCCTACAGAACTGCTTTTAAAACACCAATTGGTATGTCACCATATAAGTTGGTGTTCGGGAAGGCCTGCCACTTGCCTGTGGAACTAGAACATAGAGCTTGGTGGGCAATGAAACAGTTGAATCTGTACATTGAGGCTGCGGGAACAACTAGAGTCACAGAATTGCATGAGCTAGACGAGTTCCGATATCTTGCTTTCGAGAGCACGAGGTTATATAAGGAGAGAATGAAGAGGTTGCACGACAAGAACATTATTGAGAGAAATTTCAAGCCCAGAGACATGGTGTTGCTTTATAACTCAAGATTAAGGCTATTTCCGGGTAAACTCAAGTCACGATGGTCTGGACCATTTCGGGTGGTCGAAGTGCTCCCTTCAGGTGCTGTAGAGATCGCCTCAGAGAAAGACTCTCATACATTTAGAGTCAATGGGCAACGATTGAAACCATATGTGGGCATGGATGAACCCAAGGAATTTTCAGTGATCCATCTGACTGAACCTCAGAGGTCGAGCGAGCCTTAAATGCTCTCATCTGCGTCATGTCGCGACTTTAAATCAGGCGCTGCATGGGAGGCAACCCATTGACTTGTTGTAACAGTCGTGCCACAACATTAACTAAGGCATTGGTTGGGAGGCAACTCAATGCGTAGTGACTTTAGTACAGTTAGTATTTGTTAATTTTGATTTTGGTAAGAACAAACCAATGCAGGTGAGCTTGGGCGAGTGCTAAGTCCATCAGACGCGGAAGGAACAGGTAAAAAAATGGAAAAATTTTGAACCCCAGGAGCGCGCCCGCGCTACAGGCCGCACTATAGGCCGCGCATATGGCCAAACATTCTGCCTCAGCTTTACGCCCAGGAGCATGCCCGCGCTATGACCGCGACTGACCACGCATGAAGCGCGACCGCGCTAGTGTCCGCGCTAGTGACCGCGCATATGGCCAAGTACATTGTTTCACTAGCGCGGCCGTGCTCGCATCGCGCTAGTACCGTCCGCCTGCCACTTTATTTAACTTAACATTTTTTTTTACTTTGTATATTAAATTGTTTATAGTTGTTCATTCCGCAGCGCTCACTTTTGAAGGGAAATGCTGGTTGTATATCATCAACAACCGCCTGATCCCGTCTTCAAACACCACGGAGGTGAATGCTCCTCGAGCTGCTCTAATTTGGTGCTTTGTAAATGGTCACAACTTTGACGTGGCCAAGCTCATTCACGAGGAGATGTTTACCCGTTGTCCGATAAAGAGGTATGGGTTATTCTTTCCTTCCTTAGTTACTAGACTCTGCCGGGCAGCTCTGGTGCCGGAAAATTTGAATGTGGATGGGTTAGTGCCAAGAGAATCCAAGTTCCAAGCTGATAAGGTAACTACTGGGAAGGAGCCTGTGGCACCTGGTGGTGGTGATAGTGCTGAATCCAATGACTCTGAGGAAGGGGAGGACGAGCAAGAGGAAGCAAGGGCCGAGTCACCGACCCATGAGCAAATTACAGAGGCTGCAGGACCATCTGGGGCTACTCGAGTTACCCGGTTCATAGGTTTAGAGCAGGAGGTGGCAGGGTTGCGTACCTCAGTCGCCGACTTAGGTACACGTGTTGATGCGCTGGCCATCCAGCAGGTTAAATCGGAGAAGAAAATATTGGATTGGCTGCGAGCTCTGGGTCGTGCATGCAATCTGAACCCGGACACAATCTCCGATCAAGAGTGATCAATCAAGGAAGTTCCTTTACCTCACTGTTCTTTATTTTGTATGCCATGATGATATGTCTTCCTTTTAAGTGTGGGGTGGGGGTTACTTCAATGTATGTGTATAGATATGTAAGAACTTGACTGTTGTATGTTTTCTTTGTTTTTCTTGATTGTCTTTGTGGTTTTGAGTAGCAGTCAAAGTAGGTAAGTCGACTTGTCCCGACGATGAATCTCTCTTGACGGGGTTCTTGAGGGTCTAAGTCGATGTAAAAAAAAACAGAAATATGTTGGACTCTTCCTGATGACGGATCTTCTAGACAGTTTTCTTGAGGGAAGTTAGTCTAAAGAAAATACCAAAAAGATTTTTTGTTTTAGGTAGTGTAGTAACTCCCCCTTGGTTTTTCTTTGGGCCACGGTTCTTTTCCAAGGGTTTTGCTTGAACCGGGTGTAGTTAGTTTTTGTTTATTTTGTTTTTGTTTTTAGTTGGTACTTATGGGCGATGAGCTGAAATAGGAAGAGAAGCCATTAACATTGATACACCTGAACACAGTAGGTACTAAAGTGTGACACTTAGTCTCAGTGGTTGATTCTTGTTAGAGTGCCTTAAATTGTATGTTTGTAACTGACTTGAGTACTCAAACGAGAGTGTCTTGATAAGCCAATCTGGAGTGAGTCATGTGCCATGTGTGTGTGAGTTATATTGTATTCTATGCTCTGCACTTGATGCCTAGAACTTGCCCCGTGTGTTTGCAAAGCAAAATAGTAGCTTTATTCAGTCTTAGAAGTGATATAGGCATTTCTTTGTTAAGCCAGATATATAAAGTAGACCCACTTAAATGCGATACATCATAGTTAACCCCATTGAGCCTATAAGCCTGTTTCTTTGGCAACCACATTACAAACCTTACCCAATTGTTTGAACGGCCCATCTGTTTGAACCCCTTTACCTCCCATGAGCACTTGAATGGTAATGAAATATGCAAAAGTTAAAGTGTGCGGTGGTGGTTTTGGTTTTGAGTGAAACCAATGAAATAGAGAAAAAGGTGCAGTATTTTGAAAATAAAAGAATAAGAGCCACTTAAAAGAAAAAAAAAGAGAAAATAAGTAAATGTAGTCCTTGATAAGTGGTGACTTGATGCAACTGCACCTACTGGAATTTAGGGTATTATAAATAGAAGTGTGGTGGAATGTCCGGTCTGACATAAGTATGGTTTTGAAGGCGAAGGTGATTGTATTAAAAGTGCTTAGGGAGGTTAGTCACTATATCCAAATATATCCTACCCGTCCCTTAGCTTACATTACAACCAAATGAAGTCCTAAGTGATCTTGGACTGAATGGGCTCGATTAGTAGAGTAGTACACTAAGGGCAAGCCTATGGTGCATCTGTGTGGCATATGAATTTTCTTTCTGAGAGTGAGCGAATTTTGTCTATCTAAGTTCCTAATTGTTCTTAATATTATTATTTGTGGAACTACTCTCTTGTGTGATGTGAGGGCATTTGATTCACGAAGGAAAGGTAAGTCTTGACCTCTGTATAGAGTAATTTGAGTAAGTATGAATATTGCACGGCACGTGAGAGTCGGCTCTTGAGGCAAAGATGTTACACTACTAGATGCAACTTTGGTGATATGTTCTTGGTGTGATACGTTAGGGAAAAGCTTAGTAAAGGACCCTATGGTGGATTGCTCGGGGACTAGCAATGATTTAAGTGTGGGGTGTTGATAATAGGCTAGATTCATGTAGTTTGGCGACTGTTTATGTCCCAACTTGATTATGATTCACCGTTCTAGGAAGGTTAAATGACGATAAAATGGCTCTAATTGTGAATTTCATGTTTTGCAGGATCAAGTTGTGCTAATGAGGACCTAGGACGGTGTTTGGAGCTAAAATAAAGCAAGTGAAACCCCTCGGAACTGAGTGCGTGTGGAAGAAGGAAGAAAAGAAGAGAGAAAATGTTGACCCACTCTAGCGCGGGCCAAACGCGACCTTAGCGCGACCGCGCTAGAGCAGGAAAACAAAACAGAACATTCAGCTATATGCATGGCCACTAGCGCGGTTCGAGCGCGGCCGCGCTAGTCCATCAGGAGTGCAGAAATTTTAGGGGTAAAATTGGAAGTCCGGGGGTAATTCCACTTAACCTATAAGAGGTCCAGCTCGCCCAAAATGATATTATCAAGGTTTTTATAGATTTTGTGAAGGCATGAATGTTGATACCCAATTTTTTCCAAAATATTTTTAAAATTGCATATATACCTTCAAAATCATGCATCAATAGCAATTGGTATTTTTCCATAATTTTTCTATATTTTATTAATTTACCCAGCATTTTATTTCCAATAAATAATTACAAAATGGCATTACAAATGATTTCAAAGCATTTCTTGATTTAATTTATTATTCATGGTCCTATTTAAACCAAATTATTTCATAATTAGCCAAATTGGCTACAATTGCAATAACTTTGCAATTATAGCCCTAGCATATGATTTTATACTATTTTTGACCAGAAATTAATCATTTGTATATTAAAATATTAAATAGTCATTTTTAATTATTTTCTATGCATAAAATGCATTTTGTACAATTATCAGCTATTTCTGTAAATTGTGTTATTTAATTTAATTGGGTATTTAACAAATAGCCAATTTCATTTCAATTCTAGCCTAATTAAATCAGACCCCAACCCAATTAAAACAGCACAAACCCCAGGACCAATCCATCAGTCCTACCCGACCCAATCCCTGGTCCAATCTGGACCGTTGATCAATTCTAATCAACGGTCCAGATCCCCCCTTTCCTAATTTAACCTAATAGACTACCCCCCCCCCCATTCTCTCATTCTCTCATCACTCTCCGCCGACACACCCTCCCATTCTCTCTCAAATTCTCTCAAGCTCCCTCTACTAAACCATGGTTCCTCTCACCGGCCGTTGGCTCGCCGGTAACAATGGCGGTTCCACCACCACCCCTAGCCTCCATGGCTCCCCCTATGCCGGATTATTGCTACCCTAAGGTCCTCAAGGAACCAGAGGCGGTTCGACTCACCCCCATGGTAATTCATGTCATTCTCAGGCCAATCTTGGCCTGTCCGAGTAAGATCCTGCCATCTCCGGATAGAACCTGTGATTTTTGAGCCGATTTTCTCTCTTTGGGTTCTCTCTCTGAAACCCTAATTTTGACTCTTGATTTCTAAGATCTGTAACAAGATCTGAGTCTATTCGAGTTGTCTTTACTGTTTTCTTAAGTATTTCTCCGATTTCTTCTAAAACGACTCTTCGTCTTCAAACTAGGGTTTCTTAACCCCTTTTCAAAATGGCTTTTCCTTCTGATTTTAGTATTAATCTATGATTTTCACTATGTTTAAATGTTTACTTGAGTTTTCTCTTTTTATCTAAGTTATTGTGTTGAAAACCCTATGTTTCTTGGTTTTAATCCTGGATTCTAAGCCTGTTTTGTGATAATATGTTCGCTTAATCTGTATATGTGTTTGTTTCTCACGAGCCTTATGATTCTCTGTGGTTTTACTCTATCTTGTTCATCAGTGCCTCTGACTTTTACTTCTTCCGCCTATGTCATGTTTATTCTATTAATTCATGCTATGCTCTACATGAATCCCTAATTTTTTATATGATTTTTGCCCTACTCAGCTTCTTAGAGTTCTGATTTTGCTTACTATGTGCTTGTTCTTGTAAAGTTATGCTAAATCAGTGCTATTTGCTATTTTTGAATCTTTGAACCTCTGTGACTGATCGTTCACTGATTTCTTGTGATATTCTCTACTGATTTCAACCTCTAAATATTTTCTTGCCTTATTTTGTGGTTGACTATGCTATC